GGGTGTACTCCCAAGTAAATGCACTGACGTTTCCTGCAGCCACCTGACTGGCAGTGGCTTGGCTTGGGGGTTAAAGCGCCTGGACGCACGTTAGGAGGAAGCCAGGGCCAGCGGGCGCCCAGAGGGCAGCAGGGCCGGGCTCCATGGTCGCCCCGAGCGCGGAGAGCTGCTCAGAGCCTGGCACACCTGCCCAGCCACCAGGCGGGACTCTTTGTCCTAAAGCGTGCGGACTGTTTCCAGTACGGAAGCCGACCCAGCCACCTCCCAGGAGCGACACCCAGGCTTGGAGAGAATCCGGGTCACAGCGCGTTTGGAGGGCAGCCGCCGCAGGGCAGCAGAAGTCCTGAGCGCTGTGTGTGCGTCCTCCTGTCTGTCCACCCCAGAAATGCAGGTGTCAGCTCCCTGGAAGGGACCATTGCTCCCCTTTCCCTCCCCCGTGGTTCCCAGCCCTGGGGAAGGGTGGGCCGCGCTCCCCACCCTGAGCCCTGTGCCTCCACTGCGTGGGTGCCCACCCTGTGCAGCTGGCGCTGGCCTGCACCGGAGCCCCGGGGCCTGTTCTGTCTTTGGGGAGCCTCTAGTGGCCGCCCCTGGCAGTGCAGGATGACCGCAGCTTCTGCAGCGTGGAGGCTCTGGGGTCCTTTGGTGGTGGGTGCTTCTGTGGCTGAGGGTTCACGGGCTCGGGGCCCCGGGGCCTCACGGTCAAGGCCCGAGGCTCCGATGATCTGCGGGCCAGGCGGCACCGGCAATGGTCCACGCGCTGCATGGTGACGGGCATCGTCTCCTCTGCTCTCTGCCAGTGGTGGGCGTGTCCTTGGCTGTCCACTCTGCCCCATGAGCCCGGCCAGGCAGCACAGGTTGAGGGAGACCTCCAAACAGCCGGAAACTGACGGCAGGTGCATTGGCCCAAGCCCTGCCCAGGCCGAGAAGGGTGGACAAGAGGCAGCCCAGCCCCTGTGGCCCCCTAGAGAAGGCTGGGAGCCCCCACATCAGCCCGGGGTCCTCTGGGCCCCAAGTCCATGTCCCACCAAGGGCCACCTTTTCTTGGTGACGTCCACAGGGTGGTGACCACACACTCCCCACCGCGGTGGGCGGGCCTGGGGCTGGAGCCTGCGCAGCAATAGGAGGGGCCTGGCTCTCGGCTGCCCAGGGCTTGAGCTGCATGGTCCAGTGGACATCACCATCCAGCCGCTGAGCCCAAGTGGGGTGCAGGAAGGGCTCCGGTTTCCTGAGATGAGGGAAGAAGCCCTCCCAGGTGGCTGGACGTCACCTCACCTGCCCCCAGGAGCTCACCTGGTGGAATCACCTGTGAGGGGAGGACGGGCAGGGCCTGGGGACCTTGTCACCGGCCACCGCTGGCCCCAGAAAAGGCCGCTCCAGGTCCTCTGTATCCTGCTGGGTCTTGGGGGAGGCAGGGGCGGCCAGCAGGCATTGGGGACCCCAAGGCTGGGTCTTGCTGGACAGGACCACTAGACCCTCCAGGAGCACAAAAGCTGATGTGCAGGACGGCGGTGCCAACCTGGCTCCCCTAAGGCCAGGTCCCTATTGGGCAGAAGCCTCCCGGAAGCCCCCACTCCCATCTCGGGCCCCACCAGCCGGGGGTTCCTTCCCAGCCTCCTCAGGTCTCAGGAGCTACTGGAAGATCCCAGAGGTTGGTGCCCCAGGGGAGCCGCAGCCCCTCACTCCCAGGCTTGCCTAAGCATGTGGGGGAGGGGCTGTTTCACAAGGATGTGGACACACAGTTCCGAGCCCAGCATGGCCTGTGACATCCGCCCCAGAGGAACAGGCTTCAGTCCTCCGAAGGCTGTGCTGGCCGGATCCCAGCTCCCAGAGGCCCCAGGCCTGGCCCCAGTGTCCCTGAGAGACCGAGCCAGGCCCAGAGGCCAGGGGACTCAGAGCCTGAGAAGCTAGTGCAGGCCCCCCAGGGCATCCTGTGTGAGCAGCAGCCTTGACCTGCTGGGTGGGCTTCGGGGCAGGGCGCTGGGCTGGGGACGCATGGGCAGCGAGGATGCCGGGCTCCGCCCTCGGAGGCTCCTCCAGCACCTGGGGCTCTGGAGAACAGGCCCACTCTGTGTCGGGAGAGCCGGGCAGCCGGACTAGTGTCTCTGGGGAAGAGGCAGGCACGGCTGTCCCAGAACTCCTGAGGACTGCTCCAGGCAGGGGGCACCCGGGTCTCCTGGGGAGAGCTCCCCATGGGCACGGGGCAGAGACCCAGGCACCCTTTCCCCAAGACACTGGGAGCACGGGCAGAGCAGGTGTCCTGCTCTGAATGTCGTCTCTGATGGGGGAACCCTCAGTCATCCCCCTCCCTGCCGAGTGACTCATGCTGGTGGTGCCTGGCTCCGAGGACGTCAGAAAGGGCTGCTTGCCCCGGCACTGGTCACCAGGCTGGCAGTCAGGCCTGGCATCCACATGTCAGCTTGGGCAGGGTGTGAATAGAAGACAGGAGAGCCTTTGACAGCCCAGGACAGACAGGCCCCGAGGACCCTGGAGAGCCAACACCCCCGCAGGGCCCAGTGGGCACCGTCAGTTCCAGGCACTGCTGGGCTGAGGGCACGGCTGCTTAGGGTGGCCTGTCTCCTCCAGCCCCACAGGGAACGGTTTGGGTGTCCAGGCTGAGAACGTCAAGGGGCTAAACCCCCACAATGCTGTGCACCCCCAAGCCACCAGCCCCTCCTGGGGGACGCTGTTAGCCAACAGCACCTATGACCGTGGTTCTGGAATGTTCCCTGAGTGGTTGTCTTCAGCAGTCCAGGCCCCTCCCTGGGGCTCTGTCTCCCCAGAGCCTGGCACAGTGCGAGGCCTCAGGTCCCCTCCCTGGGCCCCTGTGAGGTGTGGGGGTCTGAGCTGTGGGCCCCCGAGCCCTGGGTGTTTCTGAGCAGATTTCGTCTCCTCTGGCTCAGTGCTGTTCCTGCTGGTGCCGTGTTGTGTTCAGGATACGCGTGTAAAGTGTGTGGGAACCTCAGGTGTGTTTCAACACAGCATGCACCTGGGGGTGTGGGAACCTCCCCGAGGCACCTCTGTGGCTGGCTCTGAGCCAGGCCACTCAGCGCCCACCACGTCGGGCGCGTATTCCGGACTTGTTTTCAAGGGTTGGGGTGCCGTCCACATGCGCACACAGCACAGCACTGGTCTGGACACTGCTGAAGGGCACTGGCTTGTCTGGGGTTTGGTGACTATGGACGGAGCAGTGGTGAACATTTGTGT